TCTCTCTCTCTCTCTCTCTCTCTCTCTCTCTCTCTCTCTCTCTCTCTCTCTCTCTCTCTCTTTCTTCTCCATAGAATCCAAAGCCTCTGGCCTCCCTACACAATTAAAAAAATTAAAATTAAAATAATTAACTAACCCGGCATTAATAAAGACAAAAATTAATAAAAGCAAAGGGAATCTGGCCTGGGGATGAGATGAAGCTACAGATGTTGGTTTGGGAACCTGAGCTAGTCTAGGGTTCTGATCTCAGCAGTGTGTGTGTACACAGGGATTCATTACAGTATACAGAACAGAGAAAGTTCTGGTGGTGTTGGGACTTAGGGTAGTATGAGAAGATGCCCAGATGCTGATGGCAAAGTGAGTCTCTCCCTTCCTTCCTTCCTTCCTTCCTTCCTTCCTTCCTTCCTTCCTTCCTTCCTTCCTTCCTTCCTTCCTTTCTTCCTTCCTTCCTTCCTTTCTTCTTCAAGACAGGATTTCTCTGTGTAGTCTTGGCTGTTCTGGAACTCACTCTGTAGATCAGGATGGCCTGGAACACGTACATATCTGCCTGCCTCTGCCTCCCACATGAGTGCTGGGATTAAAGGCGTGTGCCAACGCTGCCTGGCTCCTTTTCTTTTTAAATAAAACACAAAGTGAAATAAAAGGGATCTGGATGGCATGGAGCTTCCGTTGCTGGCCCCACAGGCACACGGGATTTGGATGCCACACGCCACTACCACCCACCCCATGCCTGCAGTATCACACATCAATATACAGGAACCCAATCTCCTACTGATATATGCATGTAGGAAAAAATTAAAAGACTCAGGCCTGGAGAGATGGAATTTCTCGAATTTCCAGAAATCACATGGTGGGATCTGGTGCCCTCTTCTGATGACAGGTTGTACATTCAGATAGAGTGTTCATATACATAAAATAAATAACATAAATGTTTTTATTATTTATTTTATTATTTTTCGAGACAGGGTTTCTCTGTGTAGTTTTCACTGTCCTGGAACTCACTCTGTAGACCTGGCTGGCCTAGAACACACTGAGATTCACCTGCCTCTGCATCCCAAGTGCTCAGATTAAAGGTGTGCAACACCACCATAAATCTTTTTTTAAAGAATCAAACAAATCAGAAGGCAGTGACCTGCCATTTCCACTTAAAGATATGTTTTCTCATCCAGTTTCATGTTCAGTGAGCATGAAAGACAGAGACAGGACCCTGAGGGAAGTCACATCCAATGAACAGAGAATCATATTTAACCACAGTTTGCAGGAGCTTTTCATTAGCCCTGTTACACAGAGAAATCCTGTCTTGAAAAACCACATACAGAGAAAAAAATTCATATAACATGAAGTTTAACACTTTAACTATTGATTCTTTTGATAAAAGGTCTCACTATGTAGGGCAGAATGGTTTCAAACTTGCCAGCCTCCTGCCTCACCTTCCCAAATGCTGGGACTACAGGCATGTACCACAGTGCCTGGCCACTTTAGTTATTTTAAACTATACAATTTGATGGGTTTTAAGTACATTCACAAAGCTATGAAAACATCATCAATACCTCGTTCTAGAATCTGTTCATCCACAAAGGAACTCTATCCCAACAATACTCACTCTGAATTCTCTCCTATTCTTAGATCATATCAACCACTAATTTTTTTTTTGTCTCTTTTCATTTGCCTGCTGAGCCCATTTCCTATAAATAGAATCATACTTGCCCTCTGGTGTCTGGCCTATTTTATGGAGCATGTTTTCAAGGTGTATCTGTGTGGTGGTGTGAATCGGTACTTTTTCCCTTGTTAAGGCTGACTGATAAGTAGTTCATGGTCTGGATACAACATATTTTACTTAGCCGTCCATCAGTTGATGAACGTTTGGGCTGTTCCCACCATTTGGCTATGATAAGTAGCACTCTTATGAATATTTACTATGATACTGTTTTAAAGTCTGGTTTTCAATTCTCCTGGGTTAGGCTAGGTGATGCTTTTTTCCCCTCCAGTGTTAGTAGAGAAGGATCTATTTGAAACTAAGTTTTGATAAAGCAAAGAACAGGCCTGAGGGTGATAGTCAGATGAGTCCTGGGAGTAGAAAAGAGTAGCAAGACATCCAAGGGCAGATGGTTTGTAGACTCCAAGAGCAAAGAGTCTCTGGGAAAAAGTATGGCAAGGAAGGGAGAAGATGCTGCCAGCAAAGAGTAGTGAGGACTCTGATCTTTGTGAATAGAAAAACAATGAGGTTTGCCCTGAATTTATAGTAGTTGTTGATGTTTTTTCTATTTTATAATAGGGAAGGAGAAAGTCTGGTGGGGATGAAAAGATGGGTTAGGGGAGGGCTGAGGAAAAGTGAATATAGCTATGGTTTGGGCTGTCTTATTGAGTGTTGGTAAGATATAAGAAGAGAAACTTGTAAGCTACATGTCAAATACACAATGAAAAACAGATAGAGAAGAATTTTTCATAATAAATAAAAGGAAGGGGCTCACTTCTTACCAAAATGCCACATGTATTTCTATAGTGATGGGCTTTTTCTAAAACATTTCCTATCTCTAAACATATTAGGATGAAGCAATCAGGCAGAACAAGGAGCATGTACTGCCATTTTAGAAACTAGAAAATCCAAGCCCAGATCAGCACTTGGTGACAGTAGATGTCAGGTCTGTCTGTGAAGTAAGCACAGCAGAGCCACAAAAGTTGAAGAATGTCAGGGCCTGGAGGAATTTTGAGCTTATCCAGAAGCCCTCCTTCTACCCCACTTTTCAGCAGGAATGTCAAAGTGGAGTGGTACAAGTCTAAGACTTAAATTCAAGGCCACTGCTCAGTGAACAAAAGACTCAAATCAGTAGTCTGTCCCTTGTCCCCATAGAAAGTGTCATCACAACATGAAAGAGTTGGTAGTTTGTGGTCTTATCTGTCTCCACTACTGAGCCAAACACTCCTAGGAGAGGAAGTTGTTTGTGATTCATCTCCAAATCTGCAGCTGCAGCACAGTTGTTGAAACTTGTTGACTATATGAATGAGAACCAGAAGCACACAATTCTTCCTGGGACTATGTTTCTTCTCATTCCACCACAGCTTTTAGTGGCAGATCTGAGATTCAAGCACAGTTTTCATGTCCCATGGGTCTCTGGCCTATGCCTTGGTGTCCACATACATCAACACTACAGTCTTGTTTTTATGGAAGTGTCTAGAACACAAGGGGAAAAGAGTTTACCTTAGTCTAGAGCAGTGGTTCTCAACACGTGAGTTGTGACCCCATTGAGGTCATATATCAGATATTTACATTACAATTCGTAATAGTAGCAAAATTACAGTTATGAAGTAGCAATGAAATACTTTTATGGTTGGGGGTCACCCCAACATGAAGAACTGTATTAAAGAGTTGCAGCATTAGGGAGGTTGAGAACCACATTGATCTAGAGTCCAAGGCCCATCTAGCCACATTATAATGACTTTTGTGGGAGGTATGGAGGTTCTTGTGCTCACAAACAAGCACTAGAGGAACCAGGAATGTTAAACACACAGGGTTGTCTCTTTAAATCGAGAGATACATAACCTGTTTTCCACCCAGAAGGCTGGGAGCAGACATGATTAATAGTGTGGTGACTTTTCCACTATGTGGCCAAGACATGAGCTTGTCAATATATAAGACATATCTTTCTGGAAGATGTCATGTACTTTACAAAGAGTATCTATCAATGTAGCCATATCTTAAGCTTTCTTGTGCACATGAGATTGAGTGTTGAACCAAACTACTTTCTTGCTTACCTGGGATCAGATTTGTTACCCTACTGGCTGTGGTGATAGTAGAGATACCCACAGACTTTGGAATGTAGCTTCTACACTATGAACTTCCTTCTTTTGCTATGTTTCCTAGTTTCCAAATGGAAATAGTCTTGCCTCAAGGGACTGTGTACCTCAGTAGGAACATGTTAACAGGAAGGCAGGGGAGAAGTACAACTTTGGAAAGCTCAGCTTTATCCAGTGTCAGATGGTGGCTTTAAGACCAACACTGTACTCTTCCTGACACCTGATTTCAAAACAGTTTCCACATGTACTAGTCAGGGTTCCTAAAAGAGTAGAGCAGAGTCAATGGTGTGTGTGTGTGTGTGTGTGTGTGTGTGTGTGTGTGTATGTGACAGGCTCACTGTGTTGCTTAGACTGGCCTCCAAATTGTGGCATGCTCCTCCTGCCTTTTCCTCTTGAGTACTGGGATTACTGGCACATGCCACCATGCCTGGCCTTTACATGGGAGCTTATATAGACAGAGGTTCACAGCACCTGGGGGTTGGGAAGGTATCCAGGGGGAAAGATGCAGATTATTTTAACCCTGTCAGGGGAGTGCACTGGTAAGGGTCATCCTTCAGCTCAAAGGTGACAGCTAGGGACTATTTATCAAATAATCACTGAGAATCACAGAAGGGAGTGGTAGGTGACAATAGGACAGAGCTTTACAAGCAAATATTCATGTTCCTGTCTTGTCACAAGCTACTCTGTTTTATGATTATTTTGTCACACTTTAGATAGACCACAACTTTTTCTTAGACCAGTTGTTCTCAAGTTTCCTAATGCTGCAACCCTCTAATGTTCCTCATGTTGTGGTGACCCCCAACCATAAGATTATTTTGTTGCTACTTCATAACTGTAATTTTGCTACTGTTAAGAATCATAATATAAATATCTGGGTTTTCTGATTGCCTTAGGTGACTCCTACGAAAAGGTCATTCAACCCCCAAAGGGGTCATGACCCACAGATTGAGAACTACTGTGTTGGACTGAACTCCGAGGTATGAGTGGATCTCTCTTGCCACCTCCCATATACCCAAGGCCCACACTCACCTGCACCAGGTCAGGTGTGAGTCGTTTGGCCTGCAGCCACTTTTGGAACCTTCCTGTTTTCCGCAGGATGCGCTCAATGCTGCAGGTCTTCGGAGCTGATGCAGAGGCACAGATTCTCCTGTCAGAGATCTCACTTTGGTACTTGCTGACCAGTCGAGAAATCTCCACAGGGCGCCAGGTTTTAGAATCATCTGAGTAATTGGCAGCATAAGAAGGCAAGTCCTGAGGAGGCAATCCCAAGTGGGAAGCCATTGAGTTGTCAAACCTGTGGGAAGCATAGGATATAAGCCTCTGAGCCAGAAGCCAGCAGGGTGGAGGGGCAGGGAGATGGAACAACAGCCTGTCTGACCATTTCCTTTGATTTACTCCAAACTCCTTTTACAAGAGGATTATCTGTGTTTGGACAAACTCCGAAGTGTATATATGATGTCAAAAGAAGTCACACAGAAACTGTTCTTTCCCCACAATGTATAGAAGGGTCAACTGTGGCTCTTTGAACTTCAACCCCATTTAAAGACAATAGCTTTGCACTTTTGCTTCTTTTCATGCCCTACTCTTACCTTACTGGTGCAGAAACTGAGGCTTATAGAGCTTAAGCATCTTGCTCAAAATTGAATGCAGTGTTGACAATCAGAGGTGTAAAACCCCAAATCCACCCTTTACATACTCTAGTTGTCCAAACCACTCTAACTTTGACCAATGCCTGGGTCCTGGAAACATAGTTCTCCAAGAGGCTCTAGGGCCTGAATTTGAGAGACTACTCCACCCCCAAAGAGCCCCATCAACATTGATTTAAGCCATCAGCATGAAGCAAATTTCAGGCACCCATGGCTGCTTCATGTCCATCAAATCTGAAGCCATCTGGCTCTAGTAGGTAGGTGACAGTGCACTATGGCTCGATCCGCTTTTAATCCTCCTCAGGGGACAGGCACTGGCCTATTGTCATCTGCTGATTTCCTAGGCTCCATGGTTACCCTTTCTAGCAGAGCCACCTCTCCAGCTGTGTGCTGACATTTCCATTAGGGAAGAATGTCGAATCTGCTTTTGATTTATGTCTGAAAAAATTACTCAAAAAAAGTTTGCCTTCATTATTATTAACTGAAGGTCATATTGCAAGTGAAAATCAGACTATATCAAATACTGAACTTAAGTGGGAGTTTTATATTCTTGTTATTGAACACTATTGGACAGGCCATGGTAATGAGTTTTAGCAGGTATATTTTCTGTGAATTAGCATTTTGATGAGTCCCAAACTGTATATTGTTTTGTTTTCTTACTCATATAATTCATCTTTGCTCAAAGAGATTACAAGTTTTCCACTGATTTATTTATTATTTGTTTGTTTGTTAATTGTAGTGCCTGGGAGGAATCTCAAGGCCTTGTGTATGCTACCTAACACCATCAGTTCATTGTTAGTATTTTGATAGCAAGGCAAGCCACAGAAAAATTTCAAGGACAAAAGGTCAAGGTCAAGGAACAATAGCTGGAGATCCCAAGTTTCTGAGTCCTTTTTGCATTAGAGCTCCAGCTTCTTAGAGTTGGGAAAGTGCTGCCAGCAAACTGTTTCTGCAGTGCAAGGATGCAAATTGCAATGGATGCAGGCCCAAGTGGTTTTGTTTAAGAATCTTGCCACAGAGACAGACAGGCCCGGCGGCAGCCCGCAGAGGCAGGTACGCTTGGTGGCAGCCGGCAAAGACAAACAGGCCTGGCGGTGGCCCGCAAAGGTAGACAGGTACGGTGGCAGTGGTAGGCAGAGGCAGGTAGGCCCGGCGGTGGCCGGCAGAGACAGGTAGGCCTGGTGGCAGCCCGCAGAAGCAGGTACACCTGGCGGTGGCCCGCAGAGGCAGGCAGGCCCAGCAGAGGCAGACAGGCCCAGCACAGAGGCAGGCAGGCCCAGCAGGCGGCAGCTGAAACACAGTTGCAATAAAGACCACAAACAGAGCTATTACCCGCTGAAGAGCTAGTGAAAACAAGCTCTTAATCAAGAGCTTGGAACAGGGACGCCTTTAATCCCAACACCCAGGAAAGAAGCTATCTCCATGGGACGGAACCAGAACGAATTTGAACACTCAGTCTGAGGCCAACCCAGGGCCCAGCTGCTGATCCTGTGAAACCCAACAACTTGGAGGTGTTGGTGAGACTACCCTGCTCAGCTGAAATCCATCTGGGAGAGGATTCAGATCCCTACAGTTTGAAGTCTGAGGAAACAAGATCAGCTGAGGAGTTGATGAATGAACAAAACGTGACCTGGGAACACAGAAGAAGGCACTGCCCAGCCACCAAACCAGATCACCAGAATCATAAGTATATACTTCACCGATGAGATTAGCTGCCCCTGAAGAAACAGCCCAACAGCACCAATTTAACCAAGAACTCCTAGTGAATCAAGACTAAAAATTAGAACAAGAGAGGCACTCTCAGACACAGACACCGCCTGCACCGAGCAGAGGAAGAGATGCCAAATCTTTTGTGAAGGGGACAAAGAAAAGGCAAGGGAGAAGGGAAGGCAAAAAACAAAAACAAAACCTAACTTATCATTTGTTTTCTGGCAAGCCCATCACTAGTCAGTAAGAGTTGTCTGAACATTCTTTAAGGGTTTGGGAGTAGGGATTAAGGATGTTACGTCAATTACATGTAGTCAGGAGGATGCCATAATTAATCAGTCCTGGTAAGGGCCCAAGAACCCCTAGGAGGGGTCCTGGTCATATATGCCTCTCAGAATGCGTCTTGCCTCTCTTCTCTCTTTTATACATCTCTACACCACACTGAACCCTTAAACCATACAGCACCTTTCCAAAGCTTTTTAGGATATAGTCATGTTACTTAACACAGTTCACTATGATCTTTATAGGCCCACTGTCTCCTTATAAACTTGCTTTGGTCTTATCAAGTCACTGTTGACTTTTGTGTAAACCACATTTTTGGGGGGTCCTCTGTTAATATTTCTAAAATACTGCCACTAAGTACTCCTTCCCCTTGCATATACAATATGTGCCAAGCAGATCCTAGTAGGCCCTCCTGGTTGGTGGGATCCTACAGAGTTTTTTGTCTAAGTATATTTTCAGTAGAAGGAGCATGTCAGTCAGGCCCACTTAATTTCCTAGTTTCCTACAACATATTTTTTTTTTTTAATGTAGAATGCAAAAGTCAACACAGACTGAACAGCAAAATTGGTCAGAATACATTCCAACTTTTTTTTGAGACAGGGTTTCCCTGTGTAGCCCTGGCTCTCCTGGAACTCACTCTGTAGACAAGGCTGGCCTCAAACTCAGAGCTCCACCTGCCTCTACCTCCCAAGTGCTGGGATTGAAGGTGTGTGCTACCACTGCTGGGCCACATTCCAATTTTCAATAGTCAGTGGTTGAGTATGAGAAGCATCCTTACAAAGGACAGATAAAACAAAGATGGCAAAGTATATTCATTTGTCAGTTGTGGATCTTGAGTTCATTCAGCTAGCCTGGGAAGCTTGTCTGTCATTTGCATCCTAGCATTGTGCAGTCCTGAATGAGGATCAGGAACGTACATAGAAAGACCAGGATAGAGAATTGCACTCAGGTTTATGAGAGTCTGAGATGGGCTTTCTCCTGAGGCACAATGAGAATTATTTTTAAAAACAGAAGAATGTTTGGAGAGGAGATAAACAAGACCAAGATGGGCCCCGGACCTCCCATCTGGACAAGAGGTGAGTGCCTGGGCTCAGACCCAGAGAGGTCTGCCCCTAGATCCCATCCCTGGGCACCAGTCATTCCGGGGAAGACCTGCCCAACTTGGCCCCAGGTTCTGGCCATTGAGCAGGATGCCCTCCACCCCCACCAGGAAGGTTCCCCTTCTCCAAGATCCCCGGCAGACCCTGTAATCTCCATGCCCTGCCCCCACACCCATCTGCCTGAGACTCCAGCCACTTCCTGAGACTTAGAGACCAGCCCCCAGCTCCCAACCTGCCTCCGGGTCTCCCATCTGGACAAGAGAGAGAGGCTTCCTGAATCTGTCAGCTCTGTCTGGACCAAGTGTGCCCAAAAGACCAAGAACGAATCCACAAGGAGATGGACAGACGTCAAGGCAGAAGTACATACAACAAAATGAAGAGCAATACATCATAACCAGAACCTAGCCCTCCTCCAACATCTAGACCTGAACATCACAAAATGGAAGAAGCAGAAGAAAGCAACCTTATGAATAACATCATGAAGAGGGTAGAGGCTTATATAGAAGAAAAGACAAACAAAAATGGAAAGAACACTATAAAAAACTAGAGGAAAGGACAAATAAAGCAGAAGAAAACAATAAATCCCTGAAAGAAAATCATGAAAAAGCAATGAAACAGGTGAAGGGAACAGTCCAAGACCTGAAAAGGGAAATAGAAAAAATGAAGAAGACACAAACAGAGAGAATGCTGGAAATAGAAAATCTGAGTAAATGAACGGGAACTTGAGATGCAAGTATAACAGACAGAATGCAAGAGATGGAAGAGAGGATCTCTGGCATTGAAGATACAGTAGAAGAAATAGATTCATCAGTCAAAGAAAACACTAAAGCCAACAAAGTCATGACCCAAAATGTTCAAGAAGTTTGGGACACCATGAAAAGACCAAACCTACGAATAATAGGGATAGAGGAAGGAAAAGAATACCAACTCAAAGGCACAGAAAATATATTCAACAAGATCATAGAAGAAAATTTTCCCAACTTAAAGAAGGAAATGCCTATGAAGATACAAGAAGCCTATAAACACCAAACAGACTAGACCCCCAAAAAAAGTCCCTTCGCCACATAATAATTAAACAATTAAAACCTACAGAATAAAGAAAGAATATTAAGAGCAGCAAAGGATAAAAGCAAAGTGACTTATAAAGGAAAACCCATCAGAATAACACCCAATTTCTCAATGGAGACTTTGAAAGCCAGAAGGACCTGGACAGATGTAATGCAGACACTAAGAGACCATGGATGCCAGCCTAGTCTAATATATGCAGCAAAACTTCCAATCATCATAGATGGAATGAACAAGACATTCCAAGACAAAGCCAGATTTAAACAATACTTATCCACAAACCCAGCGCTACAGAAAACACTAGAAGGAAAATTCCAACCTAAGGAAGTCAGATACACCCTCGAAAACACAGGCAATAGATAATGCCACAGCAGTAAACCCCAAAGAAGAGAAGTACTCACACACCACCACCAAAAAATAACAGGAATGAACAATCACTGGTCATTAATATCCCTTAATATCAATGG